TTCAAAGTGATTGTACCATTTTTTTAAAAAAAAGATTTGTTTATGCATGCAAAACAGGGGTGCAGGCCAGAGGTGCAGGGGCGGTGAGAGGACTCACCATAGTCAGAGTGTGGAGCAGAACAGGCAGGTGAACAAAGTACACTGTTGAGGGGAGCAGCTGGTGAGACAGGAGAGGTCTGCTGCGTCATGTGGTCACCTCCGGGGCTAGGGATCGAACTCGCACAGAAGCAGCTGTGGCCAGCTTGCAGTCCTGTGACCTAAGCCGTTGTGCCACCAGGGAGAGCCTGGTTGTACTATTTTTTATTCCTACCTGCAAGGTATGAGTGGGTTGCTCCACTTGCTTACCAATACCAGTATTTTCAGTTATTTTAGCCAGCCTCATAGTGTCTAGTCAAATACCTTATCAGTTTTTAATTTACACTTCCTTGATGGTTAATAATGTGAGCATCGTTCTACGTGTTAATTTGTTATCTTTATATCTTTTTTTTTAATGAATTGCCTATACAAATTTTTTTTTTTTTTTAAAGTGAACTGTTTGTTATTGTTGAGGTTCAAGAGTTCTTTATAAATTCTAGATACAAGTCCTTTTTTCCATATATACATATATATATGATTTACAAATATTTCTCTCATTCTATGGCTTGTGTTTTCAATTTCTTTATCTTTCTTTTTCTTTTTAAAATCATGCTTCACTGCTATTTATAAGAAATCTTTGTCTAACCCAAAGTCCCATGTTTTCTTTTAGAAGTTTTATAGGCTTACGATCTTGCATTTAGACCTATCAGTACCTTTGAATTAATTTTTAGATATTTTGTGGGTTTCTTTTCTATTTATAGATATCCAGTTGTTCTAGCACCATTCATTAAAAAGATTATCCTCTCTCAACTCAGTTGCTTTATATAAATGTAAAGATGTGACATAGGATTTGCAGGTATTTTCTCCCATTCTGTGGGCTGTCTTTTCAGTTTCTTGATAGTGACTTTCGAAGCAGAAAAGTTTTAAATATTGACAAAATGCAGTTCATCTATTTTTTCCCTTTTGTTATATGTCCTTTTTAACACCTAAGAAATTGTTTGCTAGTCCAAGGTCATGAAGATTTTTCTCCTGTATTTTCTTCTACAAGTTCTAAGATTTCTGACTATTTAATCAAAATTTCAACAGTTTAGATCGCTAATCCTCTTTGACTTAATTTTTGTAGTGACTAAGATAGGAAGCCCAACTTTGTTTGCATGCGAATACCAAGTTATCCTAACATAATTTGTTGAGAAGTCTATTCCTCCCCCCATTGAGTTGTTTTGCTAGCCCTTGATTCTATTTCATTTATCTCTATTCTATCTTTATGCCACATTGCACTGTCTTAATTAGTAGCTTTAAAGTAAGTCTTGAGATTGAGTAGTATGAATCTTCCAAAAGGGTTCACTTTTTGTTATGTTGGGAATTCTAGTTCCTTTGCTTTTCTAAATACATTATTGTCTATTGTCAATTTTCACAAAGAATAATTGTGATTATGTTGCATCTACAGGTCTGGTTGGGAAGAATTGGCATCTGAACAAGTTTGAGTTTTCCAATATATGTGTGTGGTATATGTCTCCATTAAGTTTTTATGTTTTAAAATTTCTTTCATATTAGTGTTTTATAGTTTTCAGTGAACACACATTTTGTTAGATTTACACATAAGTATTCCAGAGCTTTTGTTAACATTTAAATGATAGTTAAAATTTTTCACTTCTGATTTTTCATTACTTGCATATAAATCATTGCTTTTTTTTTATTGCTCTTGAATCCTTCTTAAATCTTCTATTTATAAATATTGCTTTTCTAGTAGCATTGAGATTGTCTATGTAGATAATCATGGCATGTACAGATAGTGTTTAATGTCTTTCTTTCCAATCTGTATGCTTTTTATTTCTTTCTCCTGTTTTATTGCATAGTGTAGTATCTCTAGTATGATGTTGAGTATGAGTGATGAGAGGAGACTGCCTTGCTTGTTCCTGGTCTTAGGGGAAATATTCAGTCTTTCACCATTAAGTGTGATGTTAGTTGTAGATGCCATTAATTTGTATATGCCACTAATTAGATCGAGAGACTTCCCTTATATTCCTAATTTGTTGGGTTATTTTTGAGTTATTAGTATGATGTAATAGACAGTCAGGTGCAGTGGCATGTGCCAATAATCCCAGTTACTTGGGAGAGTGAGGCCGGAGATTGCTTGAGTTCAGGAGTTTCATGCTATAGTGCACTGTGTGTAAAGTGTGGTTAATACCACAGGGTGACCACCAACCAGGTTGTCTGCAAAGGAGTGAAATGACCTAGGTAGGACCTGAAGCTTGACGAAACTCCCATGCTGATCTGCAGTGGTATCACCCCTGTGTTTAACCATTGGGCTTCAGCCTGAGCAACATAGGGAGATCAAGCTTAAAAAAAAAAAAAAAAATCAGATGTTGTTTTTGTGCATAACTTAATGATTTGCTACTGATCTATATAGTGAAATGCTTGTCACAATAAGTCTAGGTAATGCACACCATGGCATTGGTAAAATCTGATGGAATTCTGCTTACAGCCTGCTGTAAGCAGGCTCCTTTCAAACATATATCCCCTAGACCATACTTCAGAATTCCCTGTAACCTGCACCTTCAGCCTTACCTCTCTTTCAGTGGTCCCCAGTAACATTCCTGGCTTGAGAACCTTGCTCAGTGTCACTTCCTTGGTCTGTATCTTCCTGGGTTTTCTCTGTGGTTAGGGAGCTTTCCTTCTGAGTCTTGCTGCTTTGTGCTTCCCTTCATGAAGGTCTTTTTTCCTCTTATTAGGCTACTCTGGTAACCTCCTGACCCATGAATCTTCTTGAAACCATAGGCTCATCCTGTTATTCTTTATTTCAATAGGACAACTCCCACTGGATAAGGATTATGCCAGGCCTTCTCAGCCTGACTTCTCGCTTTGGCTCTAATCTGCTTTTCCAGCTCTGACTTCCCTCTGAGAACTGCTGCTAAGCATCAGAGAGCCAGGGTATTGATTCAAAGGTCCTGGAACCTTTCAGACTTGAGCTTCCTCGATCTTCTTCCTGGGTAGGGATGTCCTTTCCCATGCTGCTGACATGGCTAGACACGCCCAGACCCCAGACCCCCATACCGAGCCTATCCCGGTGGCTCTCACTCCTCTCCCCCTTGCTGGGTGGGACTCGGTATGCTTCCTATTGCCAGTTCTTTGTCAGTCTTCACTGCTTATCTCTTCAGCCACATTGTAAGTTTCTGTAGACCCGAGGTCTTCTTTCTCTGTGGTAATACGCTGGGGCTTTCTCTGCTGTGTGTTGACATAAAATGACAAGAGTAGGATTCTGTAGTGGTTAGAGTTGAGTAAAGTATTGTGGGAATTGTGAGCTGTTGCCAGGGTTGGTGGAGCTGGTGATCTGAGCTTGCCCTTTCCCTGAAAAGACACCAACGAGGCTTCTGGGAGGTATCTAGGAGGTGTTTGAAGGGAGCTCAGTGTATCCATCGACTGTGGAGAGCCAGACTTTGAGGTGGGAAAGAGAAAGTTTCTGTTTGTGGGTGGGGGCCGATGCAGTACAGGATGTCTCCTGGGGAAGATGGTACCATGTCCAGCAGGAGACCACTTGACATCCAAACTAGATTGACTGAAGAACTTGGTACAGGTCAGGACCACCTTAAGCCAGGGTGCTGGAAACCTTTGAGTAGGATGCAGTCAAGGATGGGACTTGGCACTTCCAGAGACAAAGAGGCTTCTGGAAGAAGATGGGAGTCATCTGGCAGATCACTACCAGGTGGCTGAAGTACCAGAGGAAATTTCTTGGGATCCGGATGGACAAGTGCCTTCCTCAGCCCAGGCTAGGGACCAAGACAGGGCTCCTGGGGGCCTGATGAGCCAGAGGAAAGTATAGGGCCAGGACGAGGCTCCTCTTCTGCATATTGCACTAAGAATTACGATTTGGGGGCAGAGAGACTGATACCTAGAACCTGAGTGTCTTTGCCTGGCTTCTGTCCTATGTGATTTGGGGCAAGAACAGAACGAGGGCCAGTTTATCCAAAGAGCTCTGGAGCTGCCAGAAGAAGTTTTGACTTAACAGCACTTTCGCCAAGATCTTGAAATAATACTCTGTGTAAACTTGTTTTTGTGGGTTATGTTGTGTTGGGTTTTTCCTTAGCTTTTCAGTACCTATCCCTTTCAAAAGAATTCAACCTGGTCTCTGCTATCTGAAGAGACAGTGGTAATTTTCCACACTGAAAGGTCTGTGTGTCTGAAATGTCTGTGGAAAGGGTGTCAGTGGGGAGCAGGGCCTGATGACAGACCCGCACCGGGGTGCAGAGGGGCTCTCTGGGGTCTTGGTGCCGATGCAAGGCAAAATGGAAGCCAAGGCAGAGAAGAGATGAGCCCTGCTGGTTACTGATCCCCTACAGCCAGGGGCCTTTTCCATCTCTCCTTCTGCAGGTGCCCTGTCACAATGCCAGGTGACTCATGGGTAACCAGCAAGCACAGTGGACCCTTGAACAACCTGTGGTTGGGGGGCCCACTCCTGAGGCATGAAAAATCCGCATTCAACTTCCACTCTCCCAAAGCTCAACAACAGGTTTCCCTTGGTATCCTTAGGGGGTTGATTATTTCAGGGGGCACCCCCTCCGACCCCCCCCCCCCCCCCCCCCCCCCCCCCCCCCCCCCCCCCCCCCCCCCCCCCAGCCACTCTTAGACACAAAAGCCCACAGATACCCAAGTCCCTTCCTCTCTGGTACTAGGACACACTCAGGAATTATTCAGTGATTTGGTGTCCTCAGGGCCACACCCTGTCACTGGCCAGTCAGGCTTTGGGCTTTGAGGACATCAGGGAGCCTGGCTGATTACACAGGGCTACACCCACGGATGTTGTTGGCTGTTGTTTGCTGGCAGCCGGGTGTGTATTTGCTAAGATGGGGCCTGGAGGAGTCAGGGTTGGGGCCCCAGTGCGGGGCCTGTTCCAGGTCTGAGCTTAGTGTCCTGTCTCTCCTCTGCAGCTTGTCTCCAATGTCCTCATTTTCTCCTGCACCAACATCGTGGGTGTCTGCACCCACTACCCGGCTGAGGTCTCCCAGAGACAGGCCTTCCAGGAGACCCGGGAGTGCATCCAGGCAAGGCTCCACTCTCAGCGGGAAAACCAGCAACAGGTGAGTGAGACCCGCCCCCTGCACACTGGGAGGAAGCTGAGCCCCGAGAAGCCTTGGCCCAGCTCCCGCCCGGGCGTGGCCCTCTCCTGGCCAGCCTTGTTTATTGCAGCTGCCCCTGGGGAATGTTTCTGTGGAGGGAACCCAGACGCTGGCTCTGTGGGAATGCTCTAGGAGAAACGCTAGGAGCTCCACCCCAGAGAGCTCCACCCTGTCGTCCTCCTTGCGTTCCCCCTGTGGTTTACGAGGGAGCGAGACAAGCAGCCCAGGCCATAAGTGGCAGCAAGGAGGCCCCACCCTGCCCAAGGCTAATGCCTTGGAGTGGTGAGAGCTTCAGCATTCCCACCTGGGATTAAGGATTCCCCCCAAAGTGAGGAGGGAGGGAGAAGCAAGGAAGCCCCAACTGTCAGCCTCTGTGACACCCACGTTGGGCACGTTGGCCAAGAGCTCTGACATTTGGTTGCTTCAGAGTAAAGTAGATTTCCTGTCTCACCTTAAACCTTACCCCCAGAGGACTCCTGGAAAGGGAAGCCTTGTGGGGGGCACTGGTCAGGAAGACTGGTGAGCCCTAGTGGGGACCTGCCCCTTAGCACTTCCCTTGGGTAGGAACAGGGCAAGGGCTGAGGGCTGGTGAGGGCGTCCTGTCTGCTGAAATCCTGGGGGCATTGTATCTGGGGTCACCTTGGTCTTCTCCTTTTCCATGTGAACAAGATAGAGGTGTAGGAGCTCTCCTGGGATGGAGCTGCTTAGCTCTTGGCTGGGTGGCCCCAATAAGGGTGTGAGACCCCAGGAGAGAGAGTGGCAGGGTGGCAGGGTGACAGGGCTCCCACTGCACTCAGTCTAGGCATGGCTTGTAGGGATAAGCCAGAGGGTCCTCCTCTCTTCTTGTGTCAGTGTCTGCGCAGACCCTGAGCCAACGGGAGTGGTGTGCCAGGCCTGAGGGCGGGGGCAAATATTGGAAGCCTCCTGTGGGTGTGGGGACAGGGGAGATAAAGGCCTGGGCAGCGGTGGTTGCCTGTACCCTCCTGGCCAGCATGGAGTGCGTGTATGCTGCGGCTGCCTCAGCTGACCGCAGTTTTACCGCAGCGCGAGCATGTCTGTGACTGTGTTTATCCTCGAGATAGAGTGACACAGGCTAGAAACATCTAGATAGCCTGGGGCCAGCTCGCAGCGTCCGGTGTCCAGGACCTCCTGTCCCTGCTTGCTCGCAGCCTCTGTGACTACTGTGTCCTGCCAGGTCTGCAGCTCCTCTTGCCCCGTCTGAGGCCGGGCTATCCCCAGGCACTTTTTTGGCTTCTTGTCCAGCTTCCTCAATGAAGTGGTGTCCCTGGAGTCCTCCCACCATCTTTTCTGGACATACTTACCATGCCTCTGTCCCCTGCTCACCTCTAAGCCCCTCCAGCCTCCAGAGCCTCCAGGTCCACTATCTCATTCCGGATGCCAAGATGTTTCCTGCCCCTTCAGTGTCAGGGAGTGTCCCCTACCCCTTCTAGGCCTTGTCCCCTTCCCAGTAAAATTACCATTTATTGGCTCGTTAGTTTACTTGCTCTGACTCTGGCTAGGCTGGGCATTCCACCAAGACTACAGGGACCTGGGGGAGAAATACTCGCTCTACCATGTTCTGCGCCTAGACACTGGGAGGGAAGACTCACTGCCCAGCCCCACCAGCTCCTGGCTTTCCAGTTTCCGCAGAAAAGACTGCTCCTATGTCCCCGATGTCCCCGGGGGTGCTCCTAGGTGCCACACTATGAGGGAATTCAGAATTGCTCCCCAGCATCCCTGCTCCTTCCTCCTGCCCTCAGCCCCAGGAGTAGATAGATCCTCTTGCGAGTCTAGGCAATGTGAACCCCCTTCTTTTCAGTTCTCCTATCACCACAGAATTATCCTTTTACTTGTGTTTTGCTCATCAGTAACTGTTTACTGAGAAGCCAGTAAATATCAGGTGGCCTTCAGAGGCTGACTCTTGGGGAGGCATGCAGACCCATGGGGGCCCTCACCAGTTTACCAGTGTCCTCCTGTGGGTGTAAGACTGTCCCTGTGGGGCACCCACCCTTGAGGTCCTGCCACACACATACTTGAAGGGAGACAGACCACTGAAATGCCATTGGTAGCAACTGCACGAGGCTGGTGCTGGCGGGACCAGGACCAGGTGAGCTCGAGGACGGCTCAGAGAGGCACGTGGGGATGGTGATGTTAGCTAAGGATCTGCTATGCAGAGGCAAGAAAAAACTACACTGCGGAAGCTTTTCCCGGTTTACTCTATCGGGAGCAGAGCTGAGGTTTCAGGTCAGAGGGTGCTAGGAGAGGGCAGGGAGCATAGAGGCGTAGGGAGGACCCAGAAGGTGGTATCTGGGGGTGTGGGTCCATCCAGAAAGTTTCAGGAGGCCTGGGAGAGCTCTGCACGAGGCAGCGATAAGTTCAGGTGTGCTGCATAATACTTCGTTGCCTTGCTGCGTGGAGCGAAGGTCAAAGGTGGCAAGCTCGGCGGAGACTGGGGAACTGATGCAGAGGTGGCCTGGTCCTCCAGGCCGCACTGGAAGGAGGCCCAGACCTGTGGCATGGTGAGGCTCGGGGCGTGGAGAGGTGCTTCCCAGGCCCCGGTGGGGGCGCAGGCCAGGCACAGGGAGGGTGGCGGGGTGAGCGCACTGGGTTTCAGTGAAAGAGAAGAAGATGCGGGCTCATCCGAGTCCACATTGCATGCAGCTGGTGGATGGTGAGAGCTTTGGAGGGCTTCTCACGGCGATAACGCGAGGTCTAGAGAGACTGGGGCCTAATAATGGCAGCAGTGGGCTGCAGAAGGTAACTGCCAGGATGGCGTGGCCGAGTCCTGCGGCTGGGAGGGAACTGCCTGTGGGCAGGCAGGAGGGGACACAGAGCAGCGAGCACCCACCCGAGAGCTGTGTCCAAGTCTGCAGGCCTCTGTCAGAGCTGCACGGGGCCGTCACGGGGAGGAATGTGTCCCAGGGTAAAGTTCGGAAAATAAAAGGGATTTGCCTGGGCAAACTGATTGATTTTGGCCATCAGGAGAATAAGAGTGTTGTGGGCAAAGGCAGGGAACTAGACAGAGGGCCAAGCGGGACAGAAACGGGGGCAGGTAAATGTGGTTCAGGGCATGGTGCCAGGGATGTGGCCGGATGTCCAGGCGAACAGCCGGAAGCTCAGGAGCCCTGAGTGCCAGGCAGGGTTGCAGAGGATGGGGTGGGGATGTGCTCCAGTGGGGCCAGGAAGAGGGAGAGGAGGCAGCGACGCAGGAGTGTGAGAAAGTCACAGGGCCACATGAGGGGTGGCCCTGGCTGGTGCCCAGAACGAGACAAGAGATGGAGCAGGGGTGGCGGCAGGCAGGAAGGCTCGGGCCGAGAGCAGACTGTGCCAGCGCCTGGTCAAGGGTCTGGGTGGGCCGTGGGCTGTGGAGGGTGCAAGTGGCATCCGCCCCAGCAGCAGGCAGGGGTCTCTTGGAGCAGGCGCAGGCCCTGGAGGACACCCTGACCCCAGCCTCCATGAAGTGGCCCCGGCCCCTCTCCCTCTTCTCTCCCAACTCCCCTCCCGTCAGTCTTAACTGCTGTTTCCCAAAGTTAGTGTGCTTTTCCTGGCCACTGCCCCTCTGTGGAAATGGAGCCGCCTCCTCTACCTCATCCTTCTCGAGCCTCATCCTTCGGTCTCCACGAAGCCTCCTCTGACCACTCCACTTCCCCCCAGCTGAGGTCAGGGAGCCTTTGCTCAGACCCCAGACTCTCAGGAGACTGGAGCCTGTAAGGGGGAGCTTCGCCTTTTTCCTTCCCGCTTGCAGCTCCCGGGACCTTCCCAGCATGCTTGGAACAAGAGGGGCTCCATCCACTATGATTTCACGACTCAGCAAAAGAATCTCATTTAATGCTCTCAACAACCCCACCCTTACTTGCTGATGGGGAGCCCGAGTCCTTGTTCAGTCATCTAAGGTCACAGAGCGCAGATGACATCCAGAATTCTATCCAAGGTGCTCAGCTCCACAGGTTCACCAGTACTGCTCTCCCCCCACGCACACCAGAGAACCAGGAGGTGTCCCCAGAAGCGGGGCGCGGGGGCTGAGTAGCCCTGGCAGCATCACTGTGTCCCTACCCCCCACAGAGGTGGTAGCCACACAAGTCTCAGGAGAGATGAGTGGGTTCCCAGGGCCCTGCAGGTGGGGACGCAGGTGTGGAGGAGCGAGGTCTGGGAGGAAGGAGACTGCCAGGCAGGTGGAAGGCGCCGTGACAAAGCATCTGCTTCCCACCCCCCAGGAGCGGCTCCTGCTGTCTGTCCTTCCCCGTCATGTTGCCATGGAGATGAAAGCAGACATCAACGCCAAGCAGGAGGATATGATGTTCCATAAGATTTACATCCAGAAACATGACAACGTGAGGTAGGGGTGAGGCTGGGGGGCAAGGGCAGGGTGGGAGGACTGAACTCCTCACATCCCCACATAGGGATCTTTCAGGGGGATCAGCCCAAGCCCTGTTGGGTTTGGAGTGTGTGTTTTCTGGGGCACCCCAGCCCCACCACTCGAGGCCTGTGAAGTGAATTGTTATTGGGGGAGGAGGTGAGGCTACAGAGTGAGGTTATAGAAGGAAGGAGGGAGTCAAGAAAGCTACACCACTCATGGTTGGGGTAACTCCCCCCCCAGCCAGCCAGGGAGACAGAATGCTCAAATGGTACTATCATCATCTTCATCCTCTTTGCCACCTAGCAGCTTCCATGCTTTCCATGGAAAGCCAGTGCGTGCCAAGCTCTGTACAAGTCACCTCACTGCTAATCCTGCCAGTGCTGCTAGGCAGGAGCCCCTATTAGCACCCCTCATTTAGAGACTGAACTCAGAGTGCCTAAGACCCTATTCAAGGTCACTCAGCCTAGGGCCGGGAGCTCCGTGGTGGCCTGCCCCAAAAAACCCATGCACATTTTACTGCATTTTGCCGCTCCCCTAGACAGAAGCTGCTGACAGCAGGGACATGCAAGCAGATGTAGATTAATAGAGTGCAAAATCTGCTTATGAGTTCCACGGGGACATGGAGCAAAAGATACAATGGCCTTCATCCAGCCTGGCTTCCCGGAGGGCCCGCTGATCCTCCCATATGCCCAGAAAGGTGCTCAGTGCTTTCCTTTGCAAGAGTTGCTTTCTCACTGGGCCACTTTTCCTAAGACCAAAATTCCTCTAACATCGGTATAGAGAGAACCTTTGGAAGCTCGGGCTGAATTTTCAATAGAATGATTGAATTGAATGATACCATTTATTGCAAACATGCACACACACACCCATGCATACACACATGCACTCCTCCACTCAAGCCCCTGCCTGCCTTCCCAGGTGACGTGGCGGCGGTGGGCCGGGTACTGTGCTTTTATGCAGAGCCAGTAGAATGCCCAGTTCCCACATTCTGCCCTGGAATCCAGGGAGGTCACTTGTGCATCCTCCACTCATTCCCAAAACAGATTGCAAGACTTGGGGAGGAAATGTACCTGCACAACACTTTTGCCCTCGTTTTTGGAGGGTATCTCGATCCCCCTGAAGTCCACCCACTCTATACTATCAGGCAGGGACAGTGCAGCCAGCAGGGAGAAGGCTGCCCTCAACAAGTCTTTCCAACCTCAGTGTTTCGAGGGGCTGCAGGCTTGGCGGGGCAAAACTCAGCAAGGAAAGCTGGGTCCACCGTGGGGTCTGCCAAGAAAGTGGGGTCTACTTGACATGCTGGTTTCCCAGCTTCTCCTCTGGCCATCTCTGTCTTCACGTGGTAGGACACCTGCTCATTATAAGCTACTTACATTGTTTTCTTTTTTTTTTTTAATTTTTAAAAAATGATTTTATTTATGTTTTGCAGAACTGGGGTACAGGCCAGAGGTGTGGGGGGTGAGAGGATTCACCAAAGATAGAGTGGAAAACAGAACAGGCAGATCAACTGAAGCATGCTGCTTAGGGGAGCAGTGGGCGGGTTCAGGAGAGGTCTGACGTGCCATGTGGGTCAGCTCCCTGGCCGGGGATTGAACTCGTGCTGCAGTGGCTTCTGAGAGCTTCATAGTGCAGAGCTTTAACCCATTGCGCCTCCAGGGAGGGCCCCCTTACATAGTTTCTTAACCCAAACATTGTTATCACTGCTCACACGTATTCTTCTAATTCCAACAACAAAAAAGTTGATACTATTATAACCTTTATTTTATAAGTGAGAAAACAGGCACAGAGATTCACTCATCCCTTAACTGATTAAGTGGAGAATTATCTCCAGAAAGCTTTTTGATATTTGGATTTTTTTTTTTAAGATTTATTTATTTGTGCATACAGAACTGGGGTACAGGCCAGAGGCTCAGGGGTGGCGAGAGGCTTCACCAGAGACAGAG